CTGGATTTCTAGTTGTTGCAAAACTTGTCTAGAATTAGGATGCCTCAAAAATTGAAAATCTTAAGTAGAAAGAACAAGAGTGTGTTTCTAGAGAAGAACTTCCTCTTAAGTTTGCTTTTCTGGCTGTCAAGGCCTTGAAAAGAGATTGTTGTTCATGGTAGAGCATCAAGAAAGCCCATCTAAAAAGGTAAGTTTTTTCAATCAAACCCCATAGATCTGGGTTGAATGCCCATTGTTGTTGGACCTGGCGCAACAACATCCAAGAGTCTTGACCCAAAAGGAAAAAGAGGTAGCCGCCAGCCCTTTTAATTCCTGGAGTCACTTTGATTTCTATTTACTATTTACTAGCAAAATTACTTTGATCAAGCTTTATAATCACTTTCTTACTTTATAGCTAAACCATTAGATTAAACTTTCTTTCTCTCCTTTTTTCTTTGCCATCCTCCAAACAAAACAAAAAACCCAGAGATTATTGTCAATGAAGTCTCTTTCCAAAGTTCGTTCTTTCCCTGTCAATTTAAATAATATATAAGATTCTTTAGCATATCTCAAATCCTTAACATGATTCCTTGATTTCCATATATAAAGTCACACATTAGCCATGTGAGAAAATTGTCATCTTTCCCATTTTTCTATTTCATTTAGTCAAAGATTTAGATGTCATTTGAACCTAGTTTTGTCCGGCATCATCTCCTTTGTTGGTATGTTGGAATGTTCATATTGATTTTGTTTCAAGCTCTGCTTAGGGATTTCATGAACTAGAATGAAAGTACTAGAAAAATTAAATTGGGGAAATCACCCAATTATCTGATTATTCTACTTTGACAATTAGGGTTCATACACTAGTCAGTATCAACATTTCGGTGGATCTGATCAAGAACACGTGTATGGAAACTATTGGTTTACCATTGGGTGGGCCCTACCAACCACTTATACCATAATATAAACAAAACTAATGTTTCAAATTAGAAACTTAATGGCGTCCAATTCATACTTTCAACATCAAATCTAAGTCAAACTTTTGATGTTATGTATCTCTTATTTGGTTTGGTTGGAGGAAGGTAGGGATTTGATTTCTTTATTATTTCCATCAGCATATAAGATTTCAGCAACATGAACCGCAAACACTTTATGGTTATACATCAATTATGATTCAATGATTCATAAAGTGCAAACTTTATGATATATTTATGCCTGTTCTTTGTTCTTAGATCTGTTTTGGTCCCTCCTCTCTGATTCTTTAATGCCGATTTTCCATTTGGTTGCTGCCTTCTACCATGAAATAGAAACAAGACATAGGCAATGTTTCATGGGGTTTATTTATTTATTTGTTTACAATTAAATACATAGTATATTAAATTTAATTTGGTTGGTTGATTTTGAAATTTGAATTGGGGGTTTGCATTTTCTAACTATAGGCTTGCTTGGCCATTATTCAATTGAAAAACATTATTGTAGTAGGTGGATGAGGCATACCTCAAAACTTGTAGCCATCATTCAATTTAAAAAAACAAAAACATACTATAGAAGTTATTTAATCATTGGCTTGTCTCCTCATGAATATAAATTATAATATTGATTTTTTTTCCCAATCATGGTGTTGGATATATATTTGTAATATTCCTTTAGTTCTTCCTCACTTTTGGTATGGGAGAAACTAAATCTTAATTGATTATTTTTTTTATGCTGAAAATTCTTGTAGGGTTCAGTTATTTTATTAAAATTTTATTAATTAATAAAATAGATTACATAAAAGGAGACATGACACCTTACCTTCATATTCGCAAAAAATATCGAAAATAAAAACTATCCAAGGTATTACTTGCCTTGCATTGTCATGCATGCAAAAAATAAATAATAGTAATAGTTTAAATGAATTTATAAAAAAAAATAAATAAATTGGGATTATTATTCTTTTACTTATTTTATGTCATTTGTTAAGAAATGAATTTTTTTGATATTCTACCTATGTAGGGTTTTAATCAATCTTAAATATTTCAAGCTTTGTAAACTTTTTGAAAAAGAAAACTCAATTTCATAGTGGTCACGATGAAAGGAGCTTTAATCTAATTACCAATACATGGATTGGTACTGCCACCAAAGATTATCAATACAAGGATGGATACTGGCATTACGGGTCACCGTAAGTAAGTAGTTCATAGCATCAGTGTTAGAAGAAAAGGATCGAATAAAAGACTTGTTTTTTTTTTTTTTAATTTTAAATTTTGAGAATATATTTTAATTTTTTAAGAATTTTATTTTTAAATTATCAAATTTCTAATAAGATTATTTTATACAATATATCTTTATCTTTTAAATATGAAATTTTAACTCTATTACTATATAATATTAAGTGTAAATCAAAATATTTTAATCGATTTTCAACTCTCTAGTGCTCTCACAGCAACAAGATTAAAAGTTTATCTGATTTTTTTTTATTTTAGAAGTTATTATGAAATTTTGATGAAAAATAATAATTTTTAAAACTAAGTTAAAATTGTTTGATAAACTGTTGGTAAAATAATTTATATAATTTATAATTTTAATTAAAATTATTATAATGGGCATCTATGTCATCATTAATCATTTAATAAATAATAACAAAACAAGTTTATAAGATTTCAGATGTTAAAAATTAAAAAAATTTAATAAAAAAATCAAATAACTCTTAAACTTATGTAATAATAATAGTATTATATTTTTTGATGAAAAAAGAAAAAAATTTTAAATAGTACTTGAATATAATTTTGTAAAGAGATAAAAAAGAGGAAGATCGTGATTTTTTATTAGAGGAGATTGATTTGCATAGGGAAGGAAAGGAGAGGGAGATTAATTGAGAGAAAGTAGTATTTTTTAAAAAAATAATTTTTTTTTTTAAAAACTCTTTGGTGAAACTTTTATTTAAACTTTTTTTAAAAATTTTATTTTTTAAAAATACTCTTTTTTTAAATAATTTTTTTAAAATCTTATTTGATTTAATATTTATTTTAAAAATAAATTAAATAAAAACAAACAATCACAAAATCAATACTTGATTTATTTTTACCCAAATAACAGTGAAATGTTGCTAAGTACCTATCGAAAATTTTCATCGTGCATACAACTAAGCCGTGAAGCCCATTGTCGGTGGAGGGGTTATGGCTAACGTCACGAAGCCTCTGACTTTGCGTCCACGTGGCGACACCTCATAGAACATTTTCCAGCCTGGCTGTTTTCGGAGCACGAAGCATTGGCCCCACATATTAACTTAACTCAAGTCCCTCTCGTTTTATCAAAATGCCCTCTTCCTTCGGATCGAACTACGAGAATGCCACAACATTGACCGGTTATTTACTCGTGAAAGTCGTGGCCATCTTGATCCTGCGCCGACAGCCGAATTCGGCACTGATGTTCAATCTGACGGTGGAGATGGATCCATATTGTTGGGAATCAACAATATCGACCACCAATGATTGGTGTGATTAACACGAAATTATGTTAAAAAAAATCCTAAATAATAATTTCATTTTAAGAAAAACTATGTAACAAAAAAAAGTTTGCATTAGAAGCATCTGAAAGAATACTTGAGAAAATTTCCCACTGTCGTTTTAGTAATAGTTCGGATGAAATATTCTTATCTTCTTTAAATATTTATTTTTATTTATTTTTTTTCAGATATTATATTAAATATTTAAAAACTGCTTCATTTTTAAAATATTTTTTTAAAAAAAATTTGACAACAGAACAAAGATAAAAGGAATAAGTAATACAATTCATTAAATTTTTATATTTTAATAACTGAAACATTAAATCGTTAGTACGTAATCATGTGAATTAATAGACATGTAGATCTATTTTTTTGTCATGATTATGTGAATTTATATATATATATATATATAGATATATATTCTATGCTTGCAAAATGGTTTATAGTGTATAATTTAATGAATTGCTTTTAAAAGAAAATGCCTTTGGGACATCTGATGACAGAGCTGCTAACAGCACGTGACCTGTCTCCTTCTCCTCCTTTACTCAAACCCCAAATCTTCCATTTTGATTTATTCCCCCAATCTCTCTCTCTCTCTTTTCCTTCTTTTGCACCCCCCCTTTTTCGCTGGCAGAGCTTACCATCTACACGCAATTGCCTACCATCATTTTTTTATTGCCATTTTAATATAATGTCCATACAACACCTTGATCTATACTCAATATTAGGGTTCACTATTTTTCTTATATGGTATTAGAGTCATTTATCTTGATTTATCATGATTACGATCTTAATAATATAATGGAAGTAATACATATTGGAAGCACAAAGCTCAACCCAAGACATGATCATGGTTGCTGAAAGTTTTAGAAGCTACAACCACAAAAGCTTGTCTTGTACCTTTTAATTATTGAAACTAAGCTATGCTTTTAGGTGACTTATTATTGCTCTACTCTTTTCTAGCTTATAACTTAGAAAATAGAAGATTCGAAACTAGGGTATTTTGAGACGAATGATGGGTGTATTATATTTTGTTTTTAAGATTAATTAGAATATTATTATTGTATAATTTATACAAGATTGTTATAAGAATACTTATTAACAGATTATTATAAGATTGCTTGTTAATAGAATCTCGAAAAAACGAGAAACATAGTTTTTAAGTTTGACTCTATCTAGATTCAAATCAGTTTCCTTGAACTAAAACATAGTTTATTGTGCCCTACAAGACAATGTAAATCATTTTTTTAAGTTGCAATTGGTGACAAAATCCAACACCATTTACTACTTCCCTCTGAATACTCTTAACATAATCATTTTTCCCTTGTAGTGTCTCATCTTTCCTCTACTGTCACTCTCCTTCTTCCCCACTCCAACTCACACCAACCCCTTCCTCTCTCTCTCTAAACCAAAGCATGGTCTAGTGGCTCACTTGGTAATTTAACCAAAATCCAACCCTGTTTCCACAAACAAACCCTTATCTGGCTTTTAGCCACGGTAGAACAACCTTACAAGGTCACAGCCACATGCTAAAACCTGGTCCTCCCTATGCTCCCCACTTTCCCACCAGCACAGTGGCTCCCTTGGTAATTTAACGTCAATCTAAGCCTCTTTCCCCACCCACGTCCTCCCCCGCTCTAGGCTATAACCTTACTCTAAACAAAAAAACCTCTGCAAATCGGTGTCTTTTTCTTTCTGCTTCGTTCACTTCATCAAAAAGAGCAGAACGCAGAAGGGAAAAACAGAACAGAACAGAACAGCAGCAATGCAGCAGAGACAATACCTTGTTCTTCTTCTTCTCTTCTTCTCTGTTTTTCTGCTCTTCCAAACCTCTTATGGCCACAACGTAACACGTCTACTAGCAAAGCACCCATCTTTGTCAACATTCAACCATTACCTCACTCTGACTCACTTAGCTTCGGAGATCAACCGACGCACCACCATCACTGTCCTTGCCCTGGACAACGCAGCCATGTCTTCTCTCCTAGCTGAACACCCTTCCATTTACACCCTCAAGAACATCCTCTCCCTCCACGTCCTCCTCGACTACTTCGGTGCCAGGAAGCTTCACCAGATCACCAATGGCACTGCACTGGCAGCCACCATGTTCCAAGCCACCGGGGTGGCTCCAGGGGTCGCAGGGTTTGTCAACATAACAGATTTCAAAGGTGGGAAAGTTGGGTTTGGAGCTGAAGACAATGGTGGGAATTTGGATTCTTTCTTTGTGAAATCTGTTGAGGAACTTCCTTACAATATATCTGTGATTCAGATCAGCAAGGCCTTGCCTTCTGCTGTAGCTGAAGCTCCCACTCCAGGCCCAAGTGAGCTGAACATTACTGGGATTATGTCAGCTCATGGGTGTAAAGTGTTTGCTGATACTCTTCTAGCAAACCATGAAGCCATTGGAACATATGAGGTGAGCTGAAAACTTAGTACTTTGATTTGAAATATTTCAAAATTTCAAATTTTTTTTGTCTTTTTTATGTGAATTTTCTGGACAAGGACTTGGATGAAGTAAATCTAGATCTGGGTTTTTTCTTTCTTTCTAATTGGATGCCAAAATCTTCAAATTGTAGAGCATTAAAGTGTGTTTGGAGACAAGCACTTGCGCATTCTGCTCTGGATTATAACACTACGCCTAATGAGGAATACTGGGAACCAGATTAAGTAAACACGTAGACAGTTGTTGTTCTGGACATTGACTTAGATATGGAGTGGAATAGGTTTAAGTGGTTCGGGATGGCAATGGAGAAAACTAGGTTAGAAGCTTGTAGTAATAGCATAAAGCCATTAACCGATTTCCAAGGAAAGGCATTGTTCTTAACTTGTGCTAGTCTGTTGTGAAATCTGCTCTCATGTTATGCATTTTCAGGATGTTTAGGTTCGAAGCTTGTAGGAATAGCATAAAGCCAGAAACCGATTTCGAAGGAAAGGCATTGTTCTTTCACTTGTGCTAGTATGTTGTGAGATCTAATCTTATGTTATGCATTTTTTCGGGATGTTTCTTCGGGTCGAAGTACTGAGAAAGGGGAAAGAGATCTGTGTGAATTGTGTTTGTACTTTGTAGTGTAAATTTTATTGACTTTCTGCTTGTTTGTTACTTCATGATCTCTTGTGTTTATATTAGATTTTTCTCCTATTGTAGATTGTTATAGTGAAGCATTTTTGACTAATGAGGCTGTTATTATGCTCACTTCTAGGATAATGTTAATGGAGGATTGACTGTGTTCTGCCCTCTGGATGATCCATTCAAAGCCTTTTTACCAAAGTACAAGAACTTGACAGCCTCAAAGAAATCGTCTTTCCTCGAATTGTTCGGTGTGCCTGTGTACCAATCATTATCCATGTTGAAATCCAACAATGGAATCATGAACACGCTAGCTACCGATGGAGCAAGCAAGTTTGATATCACTGTGCAAAACGAGGGTGAAGAGGTGACACTAAAGACCAAAGTTAACACCGTCAAGATAACGGGGACGTTGCTCGACGAGCAGCCAGTAGCAATCTACACAATCGACAAGGTCCTGATGCCTAGTGAGTTGTTCAAGGCAGCTCCCACTCCAGCGCCAGCACCAGCCCCAGAGATGGAAGCAGATGCACCAAAGGCATCCAGATCCAAATCCAAGTCCAAGTCAGCACCGGCATCAGAATCAGACTCACCAGCTGATTCACCGGATGACGACCCGGCTGATCAGACAGCCGATGATGACAGTGCTGCTGCTAGTCTTGGAGGTGGAAGGTTTGCTGCTGTTGGTTTGAGTTTCTTGCTAGTCTCTTTGTTGGTGTAAGTTATTTCTTGGTTTAATTTTGTCTTCCTCATTTTTCTATTTCGGAGAAATAAGTGGTGTGCTTAGTTTCCTTTTTCCTTTTTCTCTTTTTTTTCTCATATTTGTTTTAGTGTGTGATGAGTTATCAAATTTTAGGTTAAAACAAAGGTTTGTGGTTTTTCTACTCTTCTTCTTTTTGCTGGATGTAAGTTTGGTTATTTCCATTTGTCACTGTAGATCTAGTAATACACATTGTTTTTATGATGGTTTTATCCCCACACCCCAAGCAAGGTTTGATGTTATGGTCTGGTGATAGCAAATAAAGAGTAAATGCAAAAAAAGAAAAAGAAAAAAGAAGCAGTTATGGTCTGGTGATAGCAATTAAAGGTTTGTGTCTAGTGGTTTTTGATGATTCAGTTTTTGTTTGAAGTAAACACTCAACGCTCCCCTTATCTAAATCACAATCTCTCATTTATGAAGGGTGGAATCACCAACCCCTTCCCTATTTTTCTTCAAAGTTTAAATTGCCTCTTACCTATCTTCATCTTTGAATTTAAATCAAATAAAAAACAAAAGGATGTCCAAGCCTAAGACTGTTTGGACTGACCATACTCTAATTTATTACAAGTTAGACATGCATTATTTATAAGGGATCAAGAATATAGCACCTTCAACTCGTGAATACATAAAATTATATGAATTGATATGTTGTATCGTATTTAATTAGCTGCTGAAAATATTCGATCCTATTATGGTATCGTAAGCACTGAAAACGACACGGCTATTTGGTATTTGAATATATTACGATCAAGTATTGAGAAATTCAAATTATTCGTATCAACACATATTGTATGATTAATTACAATATCATTAAAAGGCGATATATTGGAAAAATTCATGTAGATAAGGAAGCCCAATTATGTCAGTGTGGTCTTCCGATAAGGGAGGGGGAATCTAACCCAACCGAAGAAACCGTTCAATAACACACATAGAGCCCAAACTAAATTAATGCAATCTGATTCAGAAATCCAAAAAGGTTATCTCAAGCTTATGGGCCCAAAGATATATGATAAGTCTACGCAAAGTGTGAAAAAATATAATAAAAAGAAGAAAAATACCGCAGCACCCTGCGAGAAGATAAAGTTTCTCCTATACTTGGCATTGTCTGAAAAGTGAAGTGAGGAAGCTGTTTGGGGATCTAAGTTAGTAAATGACAAACACAGCCTTGCATACTTTTCTATCTCTCAGGAACATGCATAAACCGCAAACCGATTCATAGAAACATGATTCAGAGGATAAAGGAACTGAAATAAACCGATTAACATCACTTTTATTACAAACAACTACAAATGTTTTTTTGGAGATTTTTTCTGTACTTTGGTTTACAAACGAAACTAGAAAATTAGTGCATAGATCAGCTAAAATAAAACAGCAAATGAGAGGAACAGTATTGCAATGGGAATGGTGGAGAGGGGCATGTAAGGGGTAGGTGAATGGTCGTCAAGAGGTTGATATACGTATGGATTTGGATTGGAGGGGGGGTAGTGATAGCACTGTACCGGAGGTGGTGGACTGTTGGGTTGACCTGGACGTGGTGGTGGAGGTGGTGCTTTATAGGTGGGAAGAGAAGGGGGTGGTGGTGGGGCTCCATAGGAAGGGTAACCGGGAAGCGGTGAGGGTGGTGAGAGAGGAAGGCATGGTTGTTGACATACTGTGCAGTTCAAGCAAAGAGTAGGTGAAGGCAAGACTTCACTAGAATCGGCCTCCCCTAAAACCATGTAACCAAGGATGAAGGGAGATGTGGAAAGTGCCACAAGGAAGACAAATACCGGAAAGAGATTCATCCTTTCAGGGGAAGATTAATATGACAATGAGAGAGTTTTATGGGATATGGATAGAAAGTAAAATTAAGACAACACTTATAACCTAAGCTCTCTCTCTCTCTCTAGAGAGTTTGCATTGGATCTGTCCATCTTTTCCTACTGCAAGTCCCGGTTTAGTGCCGCCTGGCAGACCACCTGTCATTGCTATGAAGAGGTAGTCTAGAAGCTTAACTTGGGTTTGGATGGATCTAAAGGTGAAAGCAAATCATTTCTCAGTTTAACCTGACTGATTGATCTAAATGAGAAACGTATACGTAACTGATCCATGTTTAAGGGTGTTCTACGTCAACAGTTTCATAGGAACTAAGGATGTAAAAAACATAGGAAATAAATCAATCATACAAGAGGAGAAGCCGTGCAAACATCATTTCATGAATATATGTAACAAGCAGGCTAATCATACAAAAAGGCAATTCTGCCATTTAAGTCAAACATATATTGATGACGGTAATACAATATATTGTTGCAACAAATCAAAAACACAAGGAAAATTGATCCCAAAAGGAAAAGATGCTAAAATTACCTCGTGGTATTATTTCTTGTAGCAAAGCTATTGTCTAAATTGAGCCTATTCGGATCGGTGTTCCCACTTATTGTCCGCATTTGTAAGACATACGATCGGTATTCTGTAAACCAAATTATATATGAGATGACTAAGACCTTTCTGCCACTGATGTCTTTTCTCTTCATCAGTAAGAGACAAAAGAGAGGAGGGAGAAATAAGGGATCAACAAATAAAAAAAAATATAGAGTTGCATAATAGACGGTATGGAACAATCAGCCCAGTTTTGCTTTCATGGGTTGCTAGCAGACCTTGACTTGTCCAGATCCTTGTTGTTCAAATAAAGGTAGGTTGGTTGGGCACAGTCACAAAACGTTGATATGGTAGGCTGTGGAGAAAACCCACCATAGTCTCTGTGTAACTTTGCTAAGCATACTTGATTTACGTATCTGAAAAGCTCATTCTTCTGGCCGGAAGGTTGGGCTGCATATTCTTCAAATGGCATCCACTGTGGAGAACAAAGGGCAAACATGGGAGAAGAAAGACGTTTAGCATATGCATGCATGGAAATCGAGGCTTCCTCATTCTTAATGAACATTCACAGAGAGAGCAACAAAGGCTAAATCAGAAAATAACAATCAGAGGCAGGCATATGGTGTGGACAGGAGTATAATATCTTTTCATTTTCAGTCAGGTTCCGAAGATTAACCGCCATCAAAGTGGGAAGGAGAGGGGCTTTACTGCAATTATTGGCAATCTTGTATCAGTTAATATCGTAGAAAATAAATGGCAGGCCTACATGCATCAGGTCCCCGAAAAGTGGCGGTATACTGATACGTAGTCTTGATTCGGGGTAGTGAGTCAAGGGAATAACGTGAAACAAATAAGCTTTGTACCTGAGCTGCCTCAATTTCCAGCTCTTGTGTCTCGATGTCAAACGATAGTGGACGCAACATGCATAAGAAAAGTAGATCTGACTTGCCGAAGAATATCTTGTGTGATTGCCTGAATGAGAAGGGGAAGTCAAAACAAAGAATTCAAAGGCTGGACTATGATAGGGACAAAACTTATATAAATCTGGGAAAAGCAATGTCAACAAAGAATTCAAAGACATGATTATGAATTATCCACACACATGGGAAAAGTTATCCATGATGAGTAAGCATGGCATACCTGAATCCGAGGACCTCCACAAACTCTGTGTCAATCTGAAAATGGAAAAATTAGTGGTTTTCACAATGCCATTAACACTCGTATGTAATACTAGATGTAAGAACAACATATGTTTATGCACACTCATCACTTACTCCTGTCTCTTCTTTTACTTCTCTTTCAGCGGCCGTAAATATGTCCTCACCCTGTATGTAGAAGAACTCATTTATTATTTGATAGCAACGTGAAGTTAATTTTTTAGGTGATCCTCTTGATGACAGACTGGGACTACCTCATCAACAACTCCAGTAGGAATTTTCCATAAGCCTGCTCCGTGAAATCGACCACTCTTTTCCTGAACTGTAAGCACCTATCAGCCAAGAGGATTCAGATTTAGAATCGGCTATGAAACAACCAGGTTGATCGGAAAACAAAAGTTAAACCTATATTATCGCCAACTATAATATGAGTACGCTTGAGAAGAAGGCTAGATTGTGGGGTTACACTCATAGGTAAGAAAAAAACGTTAGAGTTTCTGCTGAAAAACTTCGGACGATAAACAGTGTGTGAGTCTGTGGAAAGGAACTCCATTTAGATGTGAGCATGAAGTTCTGAACTGCTGCATCAGTTACAGTGAACTTATTGGGTTGAATTTTGCATCTGTCTATTGGGTTCACAGTTAATTTGATGACATACATTAGTAGAAGTTTGAATATTCAAATGTGTAAAACCTTTGGAAAGCAAAAACAGGGCTTGAATCCATTGCCTGTAAGGGATACATTATACATATAATCTATTAGAAAATGTGTCCTCTAGAATATTGTTCAGAAATCGAACCACTGGCCAGATTCAAATGGATCAGGTGACACTTATCATAAGAAAAAACTTTTAGCAGGAAGGACCAAAGGGAAGGAAAACCAATATTAACAAGCTCTAAATTCGCTGTGAAAACAATCAAATAATCTTTTTTTTCTTTTTTTTTTTAAAGTAGAGCAAAATGAAGTTAAGTGAGTACCTCTCTTTTATCATTAAAGATAATTGAACCAACAGCTACTCGGTGTGTTGCATTTGCAGGGATAGTGTTAGGTGTCTTAGGAATCCAATAAACGAGCATGAGGTAACTTGGTTCAGCATGGTGGTACCAAAACCCCTCCTAAAATCAATGTGATGTGTTTCAAGCAGAACTTGACAGTCAAGACATCATAATAATCAATATCAAGAGATAAAATGGGCAACAGAAAATAGTCAACAATATCAAAGGTCAACATCCAAATGAAGCTAAAACATATATCCGAAGTTTTACTCTACAAGTTGACACTAGGCAATGGAAAAACATGAGTCTAGATTACCTTCACTACAGTTTCAACAAGATGTGCTAATCCAATAGGCAATTTAATCCAGACTCCCCTTTTACCCTGCATATTAAATTCGAAATAATGTGAATATATTGATAAAAGTAAAACAAAGAAACTTAAAAGTCGACCTTTCATCACATTTCTGGAGGATGATGAGTAACTTGATTATGCAACCAACAATCCTCAATTGTACAGTAGCAGAAATTATTGAAGTAAAGATTTGTTTATTTTATTCACATCACAAACACCACAAAACATCAATCGATCACTTAGATAGCTGGTTCAGAATCTGACTAAAACCAAACTTCCACTTTGCTACTTCAGAAAAATCCTCGAGAGTAAAATTGTTGGCTCTGGATGAACATTCATAAGTTGAGGTCAGCTAAAAACAATTCAATATTAGACTTGTCTCCCAACTATGTTCCATCAAAATTACAAAATAACTAACAAATAAGAACTTGCACATATAAATTGCATTGTTCAATTCTAGCAAGCATCTAAGCAAACTTTTTAACGGGCATTCAGCAAAGCAATAAGCACATATCCATCTCAAACTTCACCTGTTGCTTCCATTTCAGCATGGAAGCTCTGAGCAGAGTGGCAAAGGTGTCAGAGTCCATATACTCCTTCAGTTCCACAATGACACCTCCATGTTCGTCATTGATCGCAGGGAGCAATTCAACATGACAAACTCCATTTTCGCACAGACGGTTTTCAACTACCTCCAACAAATCCACTGAAATCGACATCTGCTCCAATCATCAATAAATATTCAATTCTCAAAATCAATTCATAAGATAAGATGCCAAAATAACAAAACAAAAATAAAACTAAATTCCTTGGATATTAATACATCCAAGCATACATACGTATGTACTTGCACAAATACATCACACATGCATTTCTACATCCTACATATATACTTTTCATACACCCATCCATACATACATCATACATCCTGCTTACCTAAATACATACATAACCCGGAGCTGTACTTGCACAAGTACATCATACATACATTTATACATCCATACATATATACTTTTCATACATGCATCCTTACATATATATACTTACATGCATACATACATCATACATCATGCTTACGTAATTCACATACATAATCCAGTCCCATATTTGCGCGTGCACTCTTGATGCGAACCCACGTGCACAAAAATAAGCAATAAAAGCACTAAGACAGACTCTGATATTTAAATCCAGTTCAAAAAGAAAGAAACACAGATAATGGGAAAACTCTGTTTGCTCCATATTTTAATAACTTAAGAAGACAAAAAGAAAACTCTGTTTGGCAAACCAGAAAAGAAGGAAAACTTTATATTCGCACGAGTTATTATATTTTTTGCTGAAACGTGATCTTTAAATTCAAAAAATAATCATCATCATAGATTCATAGATTGAAAATAAATCATACATCATGCTTACGTATATACATACATAACCCAGTGCTGTACTTGCTCAAATACATCATATATACATTTATACACCCCTACATACACACACACATGCATCCATACATACATCATACACCATGCTTACGTAAATACATACAAAATCCGGTCCCGTACTTGCACGTGCACCTTCGATGCGTACGCACGTGCACAAAAAAAAGCAAAATAAAGCAAACAAAGAACTGATACTGAGCTAGAATAAGACTCTGCTCGTTCCAATTCAAAAAGAAAGAATATAGATAATGTGAAAACTCTGTTTGGCTCAATATTTTAATAACTTAAGAAGGAAACAAAAAACTCTGTTTGGCAAACCAGAAAAAGAAGGTCAAAATTTATATCCGAACGAGTTAGCTACATTTTTCACTCAAACTAGATCTTCAAATTAAAAATTCAATCATCATCAAAGATTCAAAAATCAATGTCAAGTCACGTAAGATCTTTACCTGCTAAACAAACGAACAGCACAAGCCAAGAACCGTAGTGGTTTTTGAAGCTAGGAAACGGATAATCACAGTGATTAATCAATAATTAGATGGTAATTCAAAAAGAAAGAAATACAGACAATATGAAAACTCTGTTTGGCTCCATATTAAATCTTAAGTAGAAAGAACAAAAACTCCGTTTGGCAAACCGGGAAAAGACGGAAAAATTTTATCTCCAAACGAGTTAACTACATTTTTCACTCAAACGAGATCTTCAAATTCAAAAATCAATCATCATCAAAGAGTAAAAAATCAATGCCAAGTCACGTAATAAGATCTTTACCTGCTAAACAGACGAACAGCAGCGGTTTTCCAAGCTAGACAAAGGATATTCTGACAGTGATTAATCAATAATTTAAATAAGATAATAGTAATTCAAAAAGAAAGAATCAGATTCCAATTTTGATTTATTTTCCTTTAATTTGTTTTCTTTTTTCTTTTTTTCTTGGCTGAAACGGGAAAATGGAGAGGGAAACTTAAGAATAAAATAGTGCTGTTTGACGCGTTGCAAGAGTGCCATGTAGTATTTATAGTTGGCGGGGAATGGGAAGGGTATTAATTATTTATTTATGCGGGGAAAACTACGGTACGCTGAAGTGGATGCTGACGTACATCCACTTGTCTTTTTCCGCCAATGAGGTCCTTCTCTAATGTCACGTGGGCTCCTCCATTCAGCCGCCCTCATTCTCTTTCGCTTACGTGTCCGACGTACGGAAAGGAGCCGAAGGGGTTGAAGATTATTAGCCACTTGTTGCTAGGATTAAAGTTCGAAATTACAAAAAAGGCCTACCTAATTTTTGGCATATAGCGTGGTCTGAGAGGGGTATTTTTCGTACTTGTGACTCTTCAATTTCATTTTTTATTACTTTTTGTTCTTTGATTCTTTTTTTGGCTTTATTTGGTTTTTTATTCAATTTGTCAACATTTTTGCATCTTTTAGCTTCTAAGATTTTGACTACGATTTCTTTTTTGGATTTCAAGTATGACCTTTTAACCTTTTTATAAGGTTAGAGAAGAATATTTGAAAAAGGTCATAGTCTCATCCCAACTTTTCAAATCATTCAAAGACCTTTTTCTGTTTTTATTTGAATTTTTTTTAAAAAATGAAGTTTGAATTTTTTTTAAATATTTTAAATATATTATTTACTAATAAAATAGGTTAATTGAACCGAACCAAGTTCAAACTTAATAATGTATACCTAAACCCAACCTGAGTCAAGTCGAGCAGAACTTATGTGACATGATTTTTACTAGTAGCAAAATCACACCAAGTGTTGTATTTAGCTTATTAAAGCATGACCCGTATCTTATATATGAGTCAAATACTAGACACTCATGTATGTATGTGATTTATGCAAAACCTATATTTTTTACAATTCATATAAATAATTTTAAATTCTTTTTAAAAATACAGAAATTGACACGTGATGAAATTAAAAAAAAAACTCTTTAAAACTTTCTTTTAAATATGTTACAAATATTTTATTTTTTTGGGTCACGAGTGAGATTGTAGTGTTCGAGAATTTTGGTCGTTAATGAATTGTTTAAAAGTGCTGCTTTTGTTATGATCTTTAACCTTTTGTTTGGTTTTTTTATCTAACTTCTATTAAAAAAAAACTTAACATCGAGAGAGTCTAGAATAAGTTTTGATTCATTATTATTGTATAAGTTTCAACTATGAAATTGTCAAGATATAGTATCATGATTTTACCAACCAATTTATGAGTTTCAATAATTATTAGGTTTAGATGGTAGTATAAGATTAATCATTGTGAAACGAATTTGCAAGATTTGACCAAGCAATTTGCAAATCCCTAATCAAGTTGAAATGATTTTGGTTGTTTAATTTTTAATCACATTGATGCCTCTCCTAGACTCCCACTATGTTTTTTCTAAAAGACAAAAATAGTTTGTAATAATTACATAATTTTAATCATTTACGTACTCATAAATAAAAACTTATTAAGAATATTCATCTAGGCACGTAGATTGTTTTTTGAAATTAAAAAAAAAGGTAAATTTTTAATAATTTTTGTAACCATCAATTAAAAAAATCATTTATACATAACACAAAACTCGTAAACATTGATATAATAATACCTATGATTATTATTTAATTTAAAACACAATAAAACTTGTAAACATTATAACAAACTCGTGACCATTAATATAATAAAACCTCTATAATAATTATTTAAATCAAAATATAAAAAAACTTAATATAAAAAGCACAAACATTAATTAAAAAAATTAACTTTTTAGTGGCTATACAAATTATTGGGTCGTGGGTTGGTAAAAGTCTATAGTTAGATATTAGTTGACTTCCATTATGTTTGTTCACTTGGAAGCATAAAAAATTTAGTCATTAAAACTATCATGAAGAAAAAATTATATACTTTGAAAATTTTGGTACATTCAATGTCACGGATTCAAAGCTTTTGAGAAATTATCTTCCCACCAATCATTTTACGAAAGATTAGACTAAAATTTTAATCATGTATCAACAATAGATAATGTGAACGCAAACGTGTCAGTCTCATTATTTTCGCCTTTTTTTTTTTCAAAGTACTTAATTAATCTTGAGTTTTATCATTATTCTCGTAAAAGTTAGAGAAAGACAAAGGGGAGGGATTATTCATTACAAATAGAACTAAAAATTGAATAAGAAAATTTAGACATAATAATGTTTGAAAAAGCCCTTAAATTATTCAAGAGATTTTAAATAAACCCTTATTCTTTCTATTACCTTTAATCAAGTCCATATATATATATATTCAATTAAATATATTCTAATGATTAATAATTGACTAAGGATGTTGATATTTAAGGATGTTGATATGTTGCTAACGTGAAGGATATATTTAAATACCATGTGGTCACAACATCATGTTATGTTATTATTCATTATGACACGTTAATATATTAACATGTCACATCAACACCATGTGACATAAAATAATTAATTTAAGAATTTAATTAAATGTAATAAAAAAAATTTATTTGAATTCTTTTAATAATTCATGAACTTTTTTAGATATTATATCAAAAATTTATTTCAATGATTTTATGCGAATTATATTAGAACGTGTGTTACGTGTGCAAATGTAAAAATTAGTTTTGCAAAGATTAAAATTTGATTTAAAGAGAGGCTAATGATGTTCTTGATCATGAATGCTAGTAATAGCTAAGGAAAATTTTGTCACAACATCCCTATTTTAGGCAGTTATCACAACATTCCAAATATCTAATGATAGGAAGCGTTGAAATATGGAGCACCTTCCCTTTGTATCGAATAATTGGAATATAACAGGATAAGGATTAACAACCATTGACCAATTGATGAATATTGTTGAGTGTGCTTTATTTTATAGTTATCAAAATTGAACCCGACAACGATTGGGTTCAAAAATTTGAACTAATAAAAAATTCAATAAATTATTATTTTTTGGATAAACTCAATGGGTCAACATGAATTTTTTTGAATCAAAATTACAAATTATTCAAATTGAAAAACTAATCTGAATTAAGTATCGGATCACTGAATCAATGAATCTGACGACTGTCGAATTGATCTAGGTCCAATAACTATATATGATAGTCAATTAGAGATAAAATTCTACACATTCTCAATATTCAAACCTAAAATTGTCTATTGAAGTTAATGTTTTTAATCGAGATGAAAGATCAATTTTCAGATTAACTCTACATTGACTCCTCAAAATCATTAGTTAATAGGAAGTTTGCGTGCATAGTATGAAGAACTATTTTCTACCTCTATGCACTTTCTAGAACAATTTCTCATGATTTCTATAAATTTGCATACTTTACCTTACGCTTCTTGTTCTTTACGTCCCTCGTTTTTTTGTAATAAAAAATGGATGCCAAAGCTGCTCAGTTTCTATATCCATGGCGGCATGGCAAAGTTGTTCACTTGGTTTGTTCACAATCATATATTCAAAACAAAGCATGATGCACGTTGCTTGTTTTTGAGTTGCATGTTGCATGTTTTTTATTTCGTAGGTGAGGCATGGACAAGCTATGCACAACGTAGAAGGAGACAAGAATCGAGAAGCACTGTTGTCTCAGGATCTGTTTGATGCACAGCTCTCGCCATTAGGCTTGCAGCAGGTCGAAATCCCATGAAGGGTCATGTAATTTTCAATCATTTTTTTAATTGTTTTTGATGATGAATGAAAACTCGACAAGTTTTCATGGTTTTCCCTCCAGGTTGCTAAATTGCGAAAGGATGTTCATGCTAGTGGGCTGCTTGACAGGATTGAGTTAGTTATCACTTCCCCTTTGTCAAGGTATTTCGATTTCGAACATGTTTTAAGCCTTTCATGATCATATTCCAGGATCAATGATCAAACTTAGATAATGAGTATAAATGTAATCAATCCAGAGCAATGCAAACAGCTATTGGAGTTTTCGGCAGTGATCGTCATCCAAAAGTTATGGCCATCGAGCTTTGTCGAGACCGTCTGGTAGGGCTGAATTCTATATTTGATACATTATCAATGTATTAAATAATCTTATCCACTGTCAGTTAATCATATATTATAGCAGGGGGTTCGTCCATGTGATATGAGAAGAAAAATCAGTGATTATCGATCTCGTTTCCCCACAGTTGATTTTTCAATGGTAATCTATATATCTTTAATCTATATGTTAGACTAGGGTTAATTTATAATCAAAATATGCATACACAAAACATAAGTTCCATACCTGTTTAGATGGATGTGGAAGATGACACATTGTGGAATCCAGACGTTCGGGAGTCCGAGGAAGAACTTGCTGCTAGAGGTGCCAGGTTTTTGAAATGGTGACTGCAACTTTCTTCATTCGAAAATCTATGTAAAAAGGAAGTATAATTCTTTACGTTACACCATTTTTAACATGTCTGCAAATCGTCCCCCTTGCCCTTTTCCAGGCTATGGACAAGGCCGGAGAAGGAGATTGTAGTCGTGAGCCATGGCATAGTCCTTCAAAATATTCTAATAAACATACATAGAAATGACTGCAATCTGTCGTGCAAGTGGTGGTGCAAGCGGTGAGCCTTCATCATAATATCTTATAATTGAGCATCTTACAACACGTAACGTTATTAAAAAATATGAGAATATCTTATAATCGTATTCAAATAAAAATTTAAATAACAAAATTATTACCCGTTACGTGTATTCAGATACAATTCAGGTTATCATAATTAGACATTTTTGCTTTCAGCTTTGATCATTGTGAGCTTCGATCTGTTTTCATCATGGATCAAAGGTTAGCCATTGACTCTTTGAATCTTTGCATGCCTTGTTTTCACTTTGAAATGCTCATATCTTTTCTTCTTCTTTTCGATGGCTTTGGCCAATTTGCAGCATCATGGGAAAAGATTCAGCATCACTTTGCTCTGATCATCATCACCAAGATGACACAGTGTTAAAGCAAGGAAGTTTCCCATTAATTAGCCTTGCTGACTTTATACAATAAGAGTCACTGTTGCGTAGAGACTGGTCTCAAGGGCTCTCTAATCTTCTTTATGATCAACTTGTACTTGTTTTCTTTTTCTTTTTATGCTTGTTTTACTTGATAGAAGTTTCAGCAACGTGTTCCGTATTTTGTCTTTTCTTGCACGGAAGTTAACTATTTTTGTCGGAGAAAATACATGTTATATTTCTAACATGAAATCATCATCGCAATGACTTAGGCTTGACTCGTTTACTAAGTCTCTTCATCTCTTTTTCTTTATTGAACTTTCTTATTCGAGATATATCAAATTGAATTCTTTTTTTTTTCTTTTTTAAACATATGATACTCTTATTTTTCATGAAATCAAAGTTTAATATAATATAATATACATAAAATTAAAAAAAATTTCAACTTAATTTTCTTAAAAACTTTTAAAACAAAAAGGACAAAAAGAGTAAATTTTAATACCTTTCTTTTCCTTTTATCAAAAAAGAAAAAAAAAACCCCACCATTTTGACAATCCTTTCTCAAGCAATATCTAGTTAATTAAGCATGAAGCAAGCACCCCATTAATTGGTTTCCATTTATAGTAGCTTATCTCCTCTCTTTCTCTCTCCTTTATCAAGAACTAGTTAGGAAGGTGGCAATAGAGAGTGATTCTCATCTATATACAGAAAGGTTATGGCCTATCATTTTTATTAAATAAACTGTGGTAGAGTTTAACTGTGGGGAATATTTAAGGAATGAAAGAATCATTAATATTTTGGCCAAAAAAAAGATAGAAAAAAAAATCAAAAGGGAATCTCAATGAATTGACCTCCATTTTGTAAGTAGATGAAAATCATGAACCCATTGCCTATCTCTCCATATCAAAATATATGTTCTTAAAAGCAATCATGACATAGGTTTAATTTTGAAAACTTTATCAAACATTCAAAGTCAAAGAAAAAAAAAAAAAACCCATGTTCTAAGAAGTTATTTTTCCACTATCGTCGCATCAATCATGGAAGACTACTATTCTAATTAAATAAATTTGCCATAGTTTCTTTTTTAATTCCACGTCGATTTTCACAGAAATTAAATAAAAAATTTTTCTTTTGAAAAAATTAATTTTATTCAGAAACATCTCAAAGAAAAAAAGATTTTTTCTATCAAGATATATAAAACATTTTACATAAGTCACTAGTGAAATTTGCTTCTCTTTTATTGAAAACATGAAGAAATGTCCTAGAAGCCAAATTCTAAGTAGTTATGAAACCAAACAACTAGGAGAGAAGTTAGGAAATTAATAAGATTTAAATAGTATGCCTTTTGTTTTTTTTTTAATATTTAAAGAAAGATTACTCAATATCAGCATGCATTATTAGTATTTATTAATAGCATACCTTTTTAACTTCAATTTATTATAAGATTAAAAAAACTGTTATTGATTATATGTTCTTTTCATTTTTAACCTGAAAAAATTAATTCTCTTTATAGTGTATGAGCTCCTAAGTAGTGGCTGTGTGGTAAGGATTGGATTCTAAGCCTAGAAGAGTCTTTATCCATGTAAGCTATGGTCTCCTAAGGGTGAATTTTTTTTATGTCAAATATCTTGTAAATTTTATTTAATTTTTTAGATAAATGAGAATTAAATTATATATAAAATTGTCTTTGTTTGTATAATGTCACTTTCTGTTTAACTCTTTTAAAAGTACTCTAGCTCCGTCCCTGGCTCAATGTTGTTACGACATGTGGTTTGATTTTTGCATGTTGATTACAACTAGCTAAGAGCAGAAGCTCGAAGCAAATTAATTACCACACAAAATCATTAAAATTTATCATATCAACATGTATTTAATATAATAAAATTTAAGTAGGTGTCATTCTTAAGTTAATTGAGCTTACACGTAATGAGATAAAGAGACCACTATATCCATCTACTTACATATTTTGGATGTAGCTTTCATATCCCAAACTCTTTAATTAGTGCATTTCAAATCTAAATAGTAATATCTCATTAGTTGCATGGCAAACAAAAATTTTTGATTTAGTTTCATAAAAAGGAATGATCTCCATACAAGTCTTAGTGATTTTTCATTAAGAAATGATTTTGATTGGGAACTCCCTAATGGGATGAAACATGAAGATTTAGATATGACTTGAGGCCTTCAGCTGTACTGTCAAAAGAAAAAGAGACCTGTAAAGCTAGTGACAAGATTGTCAAATCATATTCCACATGGCAGCTTTTGCTCCCTGATGTTGGGCTTTAAATTCCACTGTGTATCATAACCATGTTTATGTTCCTTCTAATGATTCCTTGTCGTTTGGAGCATTTCATATAAAGATTAGTATGATGTTTTTCAATTATTTGAGGGATCTACCAAGACTGAAGTGAATGAGCTTGGTTGGGGAGTCTTGGAAGTGCTCACATTCAATGTCTTGGATCCAAAATAAGCAAAGAGGGAAAAGGACAATAATGATAGAGAGTGAAGAAAGAAGAGAAGATAAGAAGGACTTGAGACATTATGGCAAGTTCTAGTGACAGTGTGACACCATTAAGATTAATTGTCAATCACATTTCTCAAAAGAGAATCAGAAATTGATGTCCTTTAACTTCCAGTCTTTATGTGTTTTTGTTATGCTCAAACCTTTTTCCTATGATCAAGTTAAGTCATGGGCTCGTGGTAGTTTCTTTTGGCTTTTTGCTCAATTTTTTTGATGACTAATTCCAAGATTTCAGTTTTGACTTCATCTGCAGAGAAATAAATAAAGTTTATTATCACTCTGCCTTGGCTTAAACTAACAGATGAACCTATGTTTTAGAAAAACATTGTCCTGTGTGATCTCAATTGTAGTTTAAGATAGACATGAGAATCTGGTAATATTAAGGTGCCATTACACTCAGAAACAAACTGAAGTCAATGGAGAACAGTTTCCAACACATCACCTACTAATTAGAATTTTTACATATTTTTACATATTGCAGTGCACAATTTTCACGATTGCTTTACGATCTTTTAAAGTTACTCTTGACCATGATCCCAAGTTGTATCCCTTTAGTAGTGGGAACAACTAGAAATATATATAGTTCAAGAATGGAAATTATTTTAGTCGTTTTATTCATGTAGAACTTGTTTAATACCATTTCAGGATATTTTCACTGCTGAGAGTGATACATCATTCACAGTAGTAGAGTGGGCAGTCAGAAATGCTGAAAACCCCAAGAGTTTTACAAAAAGCTCAAGCAGAGGTGAGGCAGGCTTTGTAGGTCTTGCTGCAGACACATTTGAAGCCTATCATTTTCCCCGTCCTTCTCTCTCAGCAATCTACAATGCAATTTGGAGGAAAAAGATGGATTATAGGATTGTTGCTACTATTTACCATATTTTTTTCAAGCTGATCTTAAATCAATTTTGTGTTTCTATCAAGAAAACTCACTCACTCTCTTTCACATTACGATTAACCTTTGAGTTTGAAATCACTACGTATATACCTGGTATTAGTCATTATTCACAAGAACAGTAGTCTTAGTAAGAGGGGAAGGTTAAGTTCTTCTGAGTCATGACTCATGTGAGAGAGACATATAATAAAATACACAGCCTATTATAAAGATTAGTTAAATTATACAGAACCTTGTTGTCTTATTAGTTAAATTATAAGAATTAAGCAAGAACCAAGATATAGAATGGAAGGTCAAACTTGGCGAATTCTTTGTTGGACTGAAACCCTCGATTCTTGAACAGTAACCATCCCCTCAATATTGCTTATGAGATGACAACAATCTTGGATGATGATTTTGGGATGGCAAGTCCTCTCGATGTACTTTTTGTTGGAAAAATGGAATATTTCATAGGTCTCAACATCCAACATTGTCAAGGTACAAGAGAAGTAAGTGTTTTATATATGAAAACTGAGCTTATTGGAAGCAAGAAAAGATGAGTAGATTTGCGTACATACGAAATTAGACCAGGCTTTGAAAAAATACAAATTTTTCTTCTTCTCAGCTTGTAGTAGTTGAAATAGTCTTGACTGAGTTTTTTAAAATTTATTTGACTTATTTTTATTCTTAAATGTTAGAATAGTTTTAATGACTGAATCTTTTAAAATTTATCTGATTTAGTCTTATTCTTAAATGTTAGGATATTTACTAAGTCTATTGCTTGATTTTTGTCAGTGTTAATGATAGTGTTTTTTAAAACTTATCTAACTTAGTCTTATTCTTAAATGTTAGGATATTTCTTGAGTCTGTTGCCTAATATTTCTCAAATGTTATCTGACTGAGTTTGTTGCCTGTTATTTCTTAAATCTTATTTGACCCAGATATTTGTTAAATGTTATTTGATATATTGCTTGATATTTCTCAAACTTTCTTTGACTGAGTTTGTTGTTTGATATTTCTTAAACTTTATCTGACTCAAATATTTGTTAAATGTTATTTGACTTAATTTCCTCAACGATGATTTTATGTAACGTTAACTCTTTGTTATGTCTGTAAATACAACCTACCTACCTTTGTCACAAACACCACCCCAAGTCTCTACTCTAAAGCTTCTCTACCTACTTTCCTCTGAATCTTCTCTTTTAAAGCTTTTCTATATACTTTGCTTTATTTTATTTTCATTTGTTTCTAAACAAAAAAAAATTTAACACTTGCAACCTTGGTGGGTGTTGCCCTTTCATTGAGAAAGGGCCAAATCAACTATGAAACAAAAAGAAATTCTCAAAAAGAAGAACAAAAATTAGTAAAGATAATTAAATAATGAAAAACATCTACTCTTTGGCTTGACAACAGATAATAAAAATCAACGTACTCGGAGTGGTATGGATACGCAGCTGAGGACAAAAATTAGTAAAGATAATTAAACAATGAAAAACACTTACTCTTTGGATTGACAACAAATAATAGAAATCAGTGTACTCGAGGTGGTCTAGCTATGCAAATGAGGAAGAATTAAGGAAGATAGAGGTTGTAAGGAGTCATCATTATCAATTTCCATTGGAATTGATTGGTTATCCATTTTTTCCAAAATTGCATTGGCGACCTCAAGAATTTGCCAAAAAAGGTATGTTCTTGATATTAATGTGAATAAATAATGCTGAAGCAAAATCAGTTAAATCGATAATCTGTAACTTAATATAAGATAAAGCCCCGAGCTTCCAAGTTTGGCCACATCATCATAAGCGGGGAGGGGATTCGGTGAGTGGAAGTTCATGGTAGCTGAAAATGGACTTTCAACAAGAATCATCTCGAGCTCCCTTAAC